TGAACTCAGCTTGCTTTTCAAGTACTGCTCCAGAAAGGGAAGAGAGGTTCCTGTTTTAGCCCCTCACTGCTGCCTACTTATTTTATCCAAGATCTTTTAGATGCAAAATTAAAAAACACCATGAGAACAGAACAAGAACATCCCTTATTTCCCAGGGCACTGACCATCTCACTGAGTCACAGTGCCAGAGTCCCCTTCTGGGCCCACATATTTTCCTTTCTGGGATGCCCAGTGGGACAACTGCAACAGAAGGGCTTCTCATTGTGAGAAGTAGGACACCTTGCTGGAAAGCAGGAGACGCAATATGAAACTCCTTTTGAGTGAGAGGAGCCTAGAACCTGAGTTTCCCAATCCCTATGCCCTGACCACTGGACTAAAAAGTGGTTCCCAATCACCTTTTTTTGATTTAAAAAAAAAAAAAAAAGTTTCCCAGAGAAATAGGATCCAAAATCTTTATAAATGGCCCAGAATGCCACTACTTATGTGGCTAAAGTCAGTGCTATTGACCTGTCAAAAGGTGGAACTGGATTTGTGCCATAATATTCTCTGGGCACGTCTACACGAGACATTTACTATGTATTGGCTTAACAACACTGCACAGCTGGTCATGGCAAAAACCATACTAATAACCTACTGCACAGTGTTATTAGGCTGATGCACAGTCAGTGTCACTAAATAGCCATGTGCTGGAGCTTCTGTGCAGTAACTTTAGGTACTGCACATCTAGTAAGTGTGTTATTAAAGAAGCACTAAACTAAATGTGTAGTATCTAAGGTGCATTAATGAATGTGTAGGCATGATCACTACGTAGTTTTTCCACAGGCTGCCTTTGGAGTTTCTTTTTGAGCTGCTACTACCAGTGGGGAATACTATTACTACATTGACCATAGCACTTGCCCATTTTTAACTTTTTAAAAATAGGATTCAGCCTGTGATTAGGATGGTTGGAGTAGGAAGCTATTAAACTCTCAGTTCTTCAAACATCTTTTAATTGCTCTTGGTAGAATGTCTACCTCTACCTACCTCCCACTCCCCTCCAAAAGAAGAGGACAAAATACCAGTAAATGTACTTTTTTTACTAGGGGTGTGCAAAGCAGGCCCTATTTGATTCAGATTTGACTCAGATCAGGGACAGCGATTCAGTTCGTTGATTTGGATCACTGTCACTGATTCAATTTGGCTGAATCCAAATCTGAAGATTCAATGCTGATTCAGAGAATCAGCGATTTGGACATAGATACAGCTTTTTTTTTTTTTTTTTTTAAAGTTTGTTCTACATACCTCAAGGTACCAGCACAGCTTGTGAATGCTGCAATGCTGGGATGCATGGAGCATCCCATGGGAGTGCAGGGGGGGCCCTCCATGTGCTCGGCAGCAAAGCCAGAAGTGGACTGGAAGTATTTGAGGCACCAGTCACTGAGCCAGGAGGGCACGGGGCACCCCCCAGGACACTCCCTAGAGGACCAGAAGTGCTTCTGGTCCACTTCCAGGTCTGCTGCCAAGCACACTGGGGAGCCACCTGTACTTCTGTAGGGTACTCTATGTACCCCAGCACCGCAGCATTTACGAGCTCCTGCTCATGAGAGGTACATAGAAAAAACATTTAAAAGCTGCGTCTATATCTGAATCTCTCCTTTAATCTCCGAAATTAAAGGGTCCTCTGATTTGATTTGGATTTGGAGATTCAGCCATTGAATTGGGCCAAATCTCCACTGAATCAAATCAGGGACCGAAGCTTCACACAGCCCTATTTTTTACCTTTGAGGCAAAATAAATAAAATCAGACATCCCTTAGCTACATCATAAAGAGCCAATGACTTGTGAAAATTTAGTCAAGCATGAGTATTTCCAGCAGGACTGCATGTTTACTACAACAGCTATAGAATACCAGAAGAACATATATAGCATTATTAGTAGAGTACACCAAGGTATACTCAGAGACTTCCTACTAGGAAGAATATGGTGATAGGGATAGAACAAACAGCTCATTTAAAGATAGTTTATATTCTATGCAGTTTAAACACAAAACAACATATAGGAAGGGCAGGCACAAAGTATTAGGACGTTAACCGGGATATTATTTTAAGCATAGGTGACATATAAGTGCTGACAGTGGGGAGGAGGCCACAGATCTGTGCTGCCAGTGAGGAGGGTGAGCACAACTTTGTGCTGCCACCAGAATAGAGGGGGGGCACAAGTCTGTGCTGCCACCACAGTGGAAGGCAAGCACAAGTCTGCAACAGCACGACAGTGGCAGGGGGCACAATTCCATGCCATTGCTGCAGTGCCGTGGCGGTGGTGGAGGGGGGGGGGGGGGGGGGGAGGGGAAAAGAGGGGCGACACAACACTGCACAGCTAGCATAGTTGGGGAGGGGCAGCACAACAGTGTACCACTGCCTCAGTGCCCAGGGACAACTCTGCACCGCCACCACCACAGTGACCAGGGCACAACTCCACACTGCCACTACAGTGTGCAGGGAGAACAACTCTGCACCACTGCCCCTGCTGCTGCCAGGCATTGGGTCCAGCTGGGCTGCAGCCCCACATCCTCCATTGGTGCAGCAGTTGCCACAGTTGGGGGGCAGAGGCACAACTGACTATCACCACCCCCATTGCTGCTGCCAAGCATTGTGTCTATCCGGGCTGCAGCCCCACACCCCAACATTGGCACAGAAATGGCACTGCTACCTCCACCCCCACTGCTGCCAAGCCCTGGCTTTACCCCACACCCTACTGTCAGTGCAGAAATCTTGGAGAACACATGCCCCTGCCCAATGTGTTATTAGGATTATTATCTTTTAAAACTTATAATCATTGACAACTTCTTGTTTTCTGTCTTTTAATAAGTAATTTCAGTGCAATGCCTATTCTTTCTAGTATGGGATTGTAGGACCCACACAGGTCCACTTCCTTTTTTTGGTTCTTTCCCAAACTCCTTTACCTCCAGTCACTCGTCTGCCACAACTGATATTCCTTGTTGTGATGGGGCAGTAGTCTTCTGCGGGGTAGGCTGCTCTGTCCCATCTGAGCAGCCACACCTAGGGGCCTTTTCACCTTCTCATGGTACTTCCCCTGTAAAGGGAATATACCCATAGGTTGCTGAGGCACCGGTTGAGATCTTAGCTGTCATAGCCTCTGCCCCTTTTTCTCCTCTCTGCCCTACTGTTCAAGACTTCAGTCTCTGCAGTTTGGCTTTGCCCTAACAGCAATCCCCCTTTTTTCAGAGTGGGGGGGCACCTTCCCCTTGATTGCCTCTGTACCTCTCTGCCTTAGGGCCAAGACCCTTGGTGCTTACTGCAAGGAGAGCACACTAAAATATCCCTGTCTGTGGTCTCCATCACCCCTATAGCCACAATTCAGTCCTCTAGTATTTAAATACAATGAACTCCAGAACAATGGCTGTGAAAAAATCCTGGCAACCTTGGGTTAATACTTCCCTCTAAACAATTAGATCCCCATGCCTTCTTTTTCTGAGCTCTCTAGCACCAGCCAGTCTCAGGAGCTCCTTTCCCTGCTGAATCAGCCTACCCTTCTCTAGCTCAGAAAGTGGGTTTATATTCCCCTTTCTGGCCACCTGATTGGTCCTTTTGTCACTCTTCCCCAGTGCCAGGTGCACTTAATTGCCTCATTAGCTACCTGATCTCTGGTCCTTTACCCACTCAAACCCTCCTAGTAACAGGGTCAGGGGATCTCTGTTATAGGCATATTAAAGAGAAATGCAAAGCACTCTCACCGAATAAAGAAGCAGAGAGAAATGAAAGAAAAAAAAGCCATTCAACTTCTGCAGTAGGGAATGAAAGGATAGGAAGATGATAAAAATGCAAATCTCCTAGATACTGTTCAAAGAAATGAAAAACCTGGTCAGACTGATGTTGTATTGTATTAATATCTTAGTCATTAAAACTGAGCAAACCAGGTAATTTGGACCACTAATCTTAATTATGTTTGTAAGAGAATTAATATTTGGATGATGCACATATGCTTTATAACTTCATAGCCTTCAGTTAGAAAGTACATGGTTTGTAGTTTTTATTGATGAGTCAGGGTGGGAATTCAATGCCCAATTTGTAAACAAAAGTTTAATACAGAAGGCAATGTTCTAGGTATATGATTTCTTGTTGTGGTTTCATTGACAGTAGATTAATGAATAAAAATCTAATCTTGGTTTTGCAAACATGAATTTACTCATGAAATCACCAAGATGATAAAATATCAGGTTTGTTCAAAACAGTGAAGTACATAACTCAAGTCTGAAGGGTTTGAGGGGGAAAAAAATCCCATTCAATATTGTGAGACAAAGCCATGGATAACTCATAAAATGGAGTTGATGAAAGAATATGTGGAAAGGCAAAAAGCAGATTACAGATTTTTCCAAATTACTGGAAAATTTGCCTATCAGAAACAAATGAAACCACTCTACATATACTTGCCCTAGGTAAATGCATGATTTTATTACTCTTTCTTTTATCATTCCTGTCTCTCCCTTTCCTACTGTTTGTTTTATCTCATCATAGATTATGAAATAAAGAGGCAAGAATTATTTGTCTGTGTATGCCTAGCAGGCAGCACAAAGGAGCTTGGGCTCTGATTATAGTCTTTACATGCTATTCATAATATAAATAATCAATAATACCACAGGACAGTTCTAGAAGGAAAAGTGCTTTTTCTGCAAAATACTAGTCAAACCTTTCCATGGATAGTTCACATACTTCAATCAAATCTCAGAGAACCTTTTTGAAGCAGGTAAATCTCATAATACCTGTTTTATACTTGTGTATTTTCCCTAAGAAAGGCCTTACTCATAGGCGGATTAACACACGGGCCAGTAGCACCTGGGCCCAGAGACCCCTGCCAATCGGGGGCCCTTGGGTGCCTGGGTTCCTGCAGGAAATGGTGGGTTTCCCTTTGCAAGCTGGCAGCATTAGCCTGCAAGGGTCTGCTTGAGGATCCTGGAGTGAGATGCAAGGGGTACTGTGTGCCTATGGGTGGCTGCACACACGTACATGGCTCAGAACACAGCTGGGCAGCGTGGAAAGCAGCTCCCTACAGGTAAGTGTACAGGGGGAAAGGGCCTCCCCATGGTGAGGGAGGGAGTGAGGCAGTGGCAGGACCTGGGGATGATGCCCAGCCAGGGCGGTAAATGGGACCTGGGGCCAGGGCAGGGATCAGGACAGAGCCACAGGTGGCTCATTCAGAAAGCACAGAGAGGCTCTCTGTTGCTGTGCACACCCCCAAGTACAGGCATGGGAGAGGGCACATGCCTCCCAGATTTGTGAGCAGGGTGGATGTGGGCTGCCCATTGTGGGCTTGGGGCTCTCCACCTGTTTCCTTTGCCCTGGGACCCCATGCTGGCCACATGTCCCCTGCCCACCTGGCAGCAGTGTGGGCAGCAAGTTGTGCCTCCTGCTGCTGGGCGGGCAGGGGATGCATGGCCAGTGCAGGGTCCCCAGGACAAAGGCAACAGGGCAGACAGACCTGAGCCTGCAGTGGGCAGCCCGCATCCATCCTCACCCCACTTGCATCTGCTTTACTCCAGTCATGGTGGGGAGAGGCCAGGGAGCAAGGAGGAGAGGTGGGCATGTACCACCCCACCTTCAGCCCGGCCAGGTCCACCCAGCCTCCCCCACAAGGCATGGATGCCTCCCCCACCTTTGGCAGTGGCAGCACCAGGGGAGGAAAGGGTCCCTCCCCTCCCCCCACTGGAGCCTAGGGTCCCGATAAATCTTAATCTGCCATTGGCCTTACTACAGGGTGCTTGCTGTTCGAAGCATAGCCAGTGATCCCACTACCATTTAAATTATTTCAGTGGCAGCACTGATAGTAACAAGTGTTTGCAGAGTCTGTCCCAGGTGACCTGGGCACACAGCACAAAAAACATGCTCATCCTGTCATCATGCTTGTCACAGGCTGGCTAGGTGCTGTGAGTGTATCAGCTGTGAGGCTGCTGAGTTCGAGATCGAGGAGGTGAGTCAGGAGTGAAGAAAGGCAAATTTACTTGTAGCTTAGCATACAACAGTTAACAGAAAGGTTAATGCAACAAACAGATAGCACAGTAATAAAGCATTAATAGTCAATGATAACAGATAGACAGAATGACAAAGAGTTCCTACATGGGGTTGGCAACTTATCAGCAGTCCCTCTATGTGAGGTGCGCGCCAAGTTGTTCCAGCGAAGTCAGGTGTCCAAGGGGTCACCAGGAAGGTCACTTGGCCAGGATCCAGTCCTCACTCACACTGGGAGTCCGGGGTCCAGGCTTGGTACAGCGATGGTCCTTCTGTCCTGTCCTTCATAATGGTCACCTGACATACGTGCTTCTTTATACCTTATTTTGTGCTAATCTGTTGGCTTTAGAGCCACTCACAATCTTGCCCTAGAGCTGTTACCCTATGGGATCAAAAGGTGTTAGAAATTAGCATGAAAGGTTACTGCCTGAACTCGGGTTCATCTGATAAGGAAATTACACCACATTACTTTGAGGTTTGAAATTAGCATTACCTGCCTAAGCTCAACTCCTTAGTTTTTTATTCCTGGATTCCTTGGATTGTGCTGATTATATTAGGTGGTCAGATCTTGTTATGGCTTTTCCTTTTCTGATTATATTAGGTGGTCAGATCTTGTTATGGCTTGACCTTTAAAATACCTGTTAGATCAGCTAATCTTGTAGCTCTGCTTATTTTGGGGGCTCAGTGGTTCCATGATCAGTGCAAACAGTTAGATTCAACACTTTGGTTAAATTCTGACAGACAAATTCCACTTTCAGGTTGCAAATTTACAAGCTTTGTGTTAATTAATCTTAACTGCTTAGACAATTACCAGATGCTTCCAAGAGCATATATTTTTTGATTTAACCCCTCTGGTTCTGGATACCACACATGCTGTACCCAGGGGAGCTCCTGTGAAGCATGGCGTGACCAACTGCAGATGTTTCGAAATATGTTGTGTGCATCACTCAGCACAGTAACCCAGCAATTAAAAAAGTTACAACATGTAGGTTCATAGCCCATATATATTCTTCCCATTAAAGTCCATGGGATGTTTTTCACAGATTTCAGTGAGACAAGGATCAAGCTGCCCAAGCTACTAGAGCTTCTCTTTACATGAAATTGCAGAACCTTTCCTCTTTTTTTATTACATTGCGAAGGTCAGAGAACAAGACCAAATCAATGGATATAATTTGATGTATCCCAGATAAGGACCTGGCCTGCAGTTTATTCTTTTCTCTGTGTGCTTGCTGATTTCTCATTTATACCAGGCCAACGTCTCTGTATGAACTGATGAAACCTGAACTTTTGGTTTTAATGGACTGCTCCATCAAACAGAACTAATAGGGGAAACCAGCATTAACTGGACATGGCTTGGGCAAAATCAAGACAAAATCAGAACAAAACCTCACAATTGATTTGAAATAACTCTGAATAGAGTCCAACAAGGTCTTAATTCCTGTGTTTTCTCACATACAACATGCCCCTAAATAAAAAATGCACCATTTTTTGGGAAGACTGATTGTGTGACACAGAGCAAGTCCTCCTTGTGCCAGTTGCCTCACCCAGACTGTCTCCTGGGATGTCACAAGTCCTAGACACACTATGTTTCCAGGAGGATTTATTCTGTCACACATGGCTAGACCTCAGACCCTTGCAAGGGAAGTAGCAAAACTGTTAGCTCTTTACTGTACATGGTTCTTTATATAAGTTCCAATAAATCAAGTGTTGTTTCCACATTACAGACCTCATCAAGATATTGCCAGTTGCTTACTTGCTACTTTAGGCACAAGCTACATTGCTCAGCCAATAGCTACACCTGTGAGAGAGTTTAAACAACATTCTTGCTTTTCAGCTACCTGAGCCAGATACAAATAGGGTGGCCATCATAGAGGACATTCAGGTTTTCTGCTATTCTGTCCCCTGTCCTCTATTGATACGAAACCTGATGCCTTTGTGTCCTCTATTTTTCTCTTCAATAAAACTAATAGGAGAAACCAGCATTAACTGGTTCGAAAGAAAAATAAAGGACATAAAGGCGTTGGGTTTCGTACCAATAGAGGACAGAGGACAACCGGACTGTCCTCTATGATGGCCATCCTAGACACAAATGGCAGCCATCTTGGCCACTGCACGACATGCAGGGTGCCTCCAGGAGTTCTCCTTTTCCAATAAAGAAGACAGCTTGTTTGCTTAAGGCAGACACCCCGATTTTGGGGGGGAAGATGCATGTAGAATATAAGAAAATACGGTATTT